AGACAGGGTTTCGCCATGTTGGCCAGGCTGGCCTTGAACTCCTGACTTCAGGTGATTGCCCACCTCGGCCTCCCAAAGTGCTGGGATTACAGGCTTGAGCCACTGCCCCCAGCCAATATATTTGATTTTTTAAAAACCTGTGTGTACACATACACTAAGCTTATATATGCATAAAATATTCCTGGATATATCCAAAAGAACTTCAATACTGGTTGACCATTTAGGAGAGAACCAAGTATCTGGGGGACAATTACAATTGTCTCAGCTACAATTGTAAAAGGAGACTTACTGTTCTATATATACTCCCATTGTGCCTTTTGAATGTTTGTGCCATGTGTATGTATTGCCTGTTTGAAAAAGTAGTGACAAATACTGCTTCATACTTCTGGACTATGAATCTTCCCTTACTGCAACAGATCTTACCACTGAGCCAGATCCACCATCATTTCTTTTTCTTTCCATCCACCTTCTCAGTTCTCCATTTTGCATTGTGGCCATGTTATTTGCTAACTAGTGAAGAAGACCAAGAAAGAGAAATCCTCACCCACCCAAGGCCATGCTGGTACTCTGTCTCTGACTTGTTTCCCCTCCCCTATCCTCCTGCCTCAGTTCCCTCTACATCCCATTGGAGTTCCATTCCAAACATCTCAGAACTCCTAAGTGCCTCATCCCCATATATAACCCTACCCAACCTCTTCCCAAAAGCCCCCATTTTGACTTCTCAGATGTTTACAAATCTTATTAATTGGCTGTTCCTTCCTTATCCCACCTTATACCTTCATTCTTTATCTTCCTCAGTTTCTGTCCTGCCCCTTATCCACTCTCTCCCCTTTGCTCTGAAGGTCTTATCCCTGTCTTTTATGCTCCCTTCTTTGTATCCTGATACTCAGGGAGGGAGGCATTTGGGAAGAAGACTCTTCATTGCATTTTTGCAGCTATAGGAACAGATATTTTGGGTATCCCAAGTTGGAACAATGAATGTGTGTGTTGTCCTATAAAGATGTTATTATAATTGATGGTTAGGGGCCATATTTCATATCCATTATGGGTTAAATAGGCTTCTGTGAACAGGCTTGGGGGAAAAAACACTCTTTCATGCTGTGGTAGGGACATTTCCAGAAGCATCCTAAATAGGACAGGATACCATGGTTTGTCCAAAAGTAGCTTTTGTCAGTCTGTGAAATAGGCCAACAAAATCAGTGTCTTCCAACTTTTTTTTTTTTTTAATGGTTTTTGTTTTGTTTTGTTTTTGAGATAGGGTTTGGCTCTTGTCACCCAGGCTGGGGTGCAATAGCATGATCTCAGCTCACTGCAACCTCTGCTTCCCAGACTTAAGCCATCCTGCCACCTCAGACTCCCGGGTGCATGCCACCACACATGGATAATTTTTTTCTTTTTCCTTTTCTTTTTTTCTTTCTTTTTTCTTTTCTTTTTTTATAGAGATGGGATTTTGCCTTGTTGCCCAGGCTGGTCTCAAACTCCTGAGCTCAAGGGATCCGCCTGCCTCGGCCTCCTGAAGTGCTGGGGTTACAGGCATGAGCCACCACATCTGACCATCTTCTGATTCTCTTACTTAATGGTGAATGGTGATTTGACTGTAGATGGCCTGTAGTCCCTTTCCAGTCACAGTTGCTAGAGTTGTAGGTTGTAGGGAGAAACTCACATCAATTAGTCTTCATCATGGTTTGGCTGTTGTTGTAATGGTTTTTACAGTTAGTGCTTTTTCTTTCTAAACATGTGTTGTTTTTAACTTACATGTTGATTTTCTTCCACCTTTAATATTTTCCAATTCCCTTCTAACAGAGGCGGACATCTAACCATGGTCATGCCAGGAAAAGAGCCAAGGTGAGAGCCCTTCCTCTGTAGCTTCTTTTCTAATGTTATTAGTAATACATTTCACAAGTGGACTTGTCATGACTATCTAGTTTGTTCAGATTATGTAGGCAGAGTTTTCTCACCTGTACTCTGTACCCCAATTGTGAACCTGCATAATACACACATGTACACCTACACATACACACCTCTAATGGAAACTGTATGCATACATAGGTGTATACACATTTGATGCCTGAAAGGCTGCCCAGCTGGAGCCTTCCACAGAGCCTGAAACAACTGGATACTAGTTGTGCTGAAATACCAGTTTCTCTGCTCACTCCTAGCTTCTCTAGGAGAATGGCTGCTTATATGAGTCTTACAAACCCTTCCTTTTTTTTTTTCACTTGTAAATTTTCTTTAAGATTAAATCCTGCCCACTAAGAAAAATGACTCAACATTTTTGGATATCCTAAAAATACAGGCTTTTTTTTTTTCCTGCTAATGTTTTACTTTTTTTTTTTTTTTTTTTGGAGTTTTTTGCTCTGTTGCCCAGGCTTGAGTGCAATGGCGCAATCTTGGCTCACTGCAACTTCCGCCTCCCGGGTTCAAGCGATTCTCCTGCCTCAACCTCCCAAGTAGCTGAGCTTATAGGCATGCATCAGCATGCCCGGCTAATTTTGTATTTTTAGTAGAAACGGGGTTTCACCATGTTGGTCAGGCTGGTTTGGAGCTCCTGACCTCAAGTGATCCGCCTACCTCAGCCTCCCAAAGTACTGGGATTACAGGCATGAGCCACCACGCCCAGCTTCGAACTCTCAACCTCAGGTGATCCACCCGCTTCAGCCCCACAAAGTGCTCGGATTACAGGCATGAGCCACCATGCCTGGCTATTTTTCTTTTTTTTTGAGATGGAGTCTCACTCTGTAGCTGGAGTGCAGTGGTGCGATCTCGGCTCACTACAACCTCCGCCTTCCTTGTTCAAGTGATTCTCATGCCTCAGCCTCCCAAGTAGCTGGGCTTACAGGCACACACCACTATGCCAGGCTAATTTTTGTGTTTTTAGTAGAGATGGGATTTTGCCATGTCACCCAGGCTGTTCTTGAACTCCTGGGCTTTCAGAAGCGATCCACCTGTCTTGGCCTCACAAAGTGCCAGGATTACAGGCATGAGCCACTGTACCCAGGTAACTTAATGTTTCACTTTTAGGGGCAGGAAGAGGATTTTGCTTTTAATCATTACATGATACAATTAGCACCTCACAGATTATTTTAAGCAGAGTTATCAGGGAAGACTACATGTGTTAGTATGTGATAGGTTTCTAATTTAGCTGGGAAGCAGTAAAGTATTAAATTTTTCTTGCATTGGGAAGAATTGCCTCCAAAAGTAATAATTAAGGTTGGCTACTCTGTTCCTCCAAAAAAATAATGATAGAATTTGGAGAGTGGCTCAGCTACTGTGTGACTTGAGTTTGAAGAAGGCCAAGAACTAAAAATTGGCTCTGTGGCTTGTCTTGCGTGGCCTGATCCATAGTGATGCGCTTGATGTTAAAGTTCAAAACAGAGGTTACTTACTGCTACTTTAGTTCCTCTCAAATTTTTTGGGATAAGTAAGACAGCTATTATCTCCATTTTACAGATGAGGAAACTTGGGCTATAGGGATTGAGTGGCTTAACAAAGTGCATTCAGTAGCAAGTGGCAGAATTAGGCATGAAGTTAATTCTTCAGGCTCACAAGTTCTTTCCTCTGTACTGCACTACCGGGAGCATACCTGTCATGTCTTGTGCTTTGGTGTTTATTGTAATCCTTGGTTTTATTGTGTATTGAGTCTCAGTAAATGTTTATAGGTAGATTTCTGATGAGTCACCCTACAGTTTTTAGCTTTGGGTGGGTCACTAGGAGAGAAATGATTTGCATAGTGGATTTCTGATATTTTTGGGATTCACCAGCTAGCAGAAGTAAAGCGGGCAAATTAGGTTTTATTGCATTAAATCCCAAGTATTAATAAAGTTTTATCTATCTTTTTTTTGTTTGTTTTTTTTTTGGTTTTTTGAGATAGGGTCTCACTCTATTGCCCAGGTGGGAGTGCAGTGCCATGATCACAGCTCACTGCAGCCTCAACCTCCCAGGCTCAAGCAGTGCTCCCACCTCAGCCTCCCGAGTAGCTGGGACCACAGTCATGTGCCACCATAGCCAGCTAATTTTTTTTTTTTTTTTTTTTTTTTTGAGACGGAGTCTTGCTCTGTCGCCCAGGCTGGAGTGCAGTGGCGCAATCTCAGCTCACTGCAACCTCCGCCTCCTGGGCTCAAGCCATTCTCCTGCCTCAGCCTCCCGAGCAGCTGGGACTACAGGTGTCTGCCACCACACCCGGCTAATTTTTTTGTATTTTTAGTAGAGACAGGGTTTCACCGTGTTCGCCAGGATGGTCTCGATCTCCTGACATCGTGATCCGCTCGCCTCGGCCTCCCAAAGTGCTGGGATTACAGGCATGAGCCACTGCGCCCGGCCAATTTTTTAAAAAAATTTTTTTAGAGATAGGGTCTCACTATGTTGCCCAGACTGTGACCTCCTGGCCTTAAGTGGTCCTCCTACCTCGGCCTTCCGAAATGCCAGGTTTACAGGTGTGAGCCACCATGCTTGGCCTGTCTTTCTCTTACTCTTTTCTTAGACACTTCTTTCCATACCCTTGGCATCTCAGGTTTAGAGTCATTTAGCATTTATTGTCTACTGTATGCTAAGCACTATTTAATGATATGTATATTTACATACTATATATTATCTAATTTTCACAACAGGTTTTTAGATAATTTTAGGTATTTATCGCCATTTTCCTGAGGAAAAACAGAGACCTGGAGAGGTAAGGTAATTTGCTCAGGGTCTCATAGCTTGTAAGTACAAAACCAGGAGTTGAAGCTAGGACTTTTGGCTCTCAGCCCCATTGTGTTTCTACTATGCTATGTTGATGTGTATTTGCATAAAGTTCTGAGACTGAAATTAGAGTACGGGGCTGAAGAGAGAAGAGGGCTAAGTGAAATGGTTTCCGACCATCTGTCCACATAGCCAGTTTGTACATGTCTACTGTTGTAAGCAAGAGAAGTATCTTTCAAGTGAATCAGGAACTGGTGAGTAGGACCCATCCCTTGTTTAATGGAAACAGCAAGTAACAGAGCCAAAGAGGACACTTTTCATTCAGCCAAAAGCTTTCTGAATATTCACCAAGGGAAGAAAGATATAAGATATATATAAAAAAAAAAAACTGAAAATTGTTTTTTTCAGTCTAATTCCAAGCTAAAGTTGGTGCGCAGCCTGGCAGTGTGTGAGGAGTCCTCCACCCCATTTGCTGATGGGCCATTAGAAACCCAGGTAGGTCATTTGCAGGAGTAAGTGTGGCTTTTGCGCTTGGCAGTTTTTTGGTAAAATGTAGTACAGCAATCACAGCAACATCAGACTTGAAAATCAGGGTAGAAGGTACTTCAGAACAAAGCTGTTGTACTAAAACAGGGCATGGTCTCTCCTCCCAGCTGCGGGTTCCAGTGGCAGTGGCAGTGCTGACAGATCTGTGCCAGGGAGGAGGGGAACCCTAAAAAAGAAAAAAGAAAATAACCCCAGCATAGCTGACAGCATGAAGTATAGGACTTCATATCTTGACCACCTAGGATGATGCAGACAAGAAGATCCAGAGCTAGATCTTATTTTCTTATGTGTACCCTCCCGCTCTGGTGGTTAGAACCATTCCCATCCAACACCTATGCCAAGAACAGCCTATGTAATTTGAGCTCTCCATAAAGTAGGCTGTGCTTGCTGGCAGAAAAAGCTGTGCCTCTACCCTCTTGATAGAACAAAACTAAAACAGTTTAATTAGCAAAATAACACTAATCTGTAAGAGAGAGCTGCCACCCCAATATTTACCTTCTTTGAGATTCCAAGGGAGCTGCAAGAAAGTTAAAATCCTTTTCCCCCTTTGATTATCCTTTTTCCTCTTAAGGATATAATTCAATTGCACATCAGTTGCCCTTCTGACAAGGAGGAAGAAAAGTCCACAAAAGATGTCTCTGAAAAGGAAGACAAGGACAAAAACAAAGAAAAGATCCCAAGAAAGATGCTGTCCAGAGGTGAGGAGTTTTTCCCATCTCTTATCTGTTCTAGGGCTGTGCCCTTTACTTTTATCCTGAAGCCTGGTACCTGCTAGCCTTACTGGCCCATCAATTTGTAGTGTTCTGCTAACTTGGTTGCTTGAGGAGATGCCTAACTAGGTTACTTTCTTTGTTTCTGTAACTGAACCTGCCTTAGGAGCTCGCATGCCACAGACAGCTACTCCATATGCATTGGCATTATCCATGGGAGGACAATGTAGTCAATTCTGATTTTACTTGTGCTCTGGAATAATGGTGACATTGATCATCATTGGTAGCAAATCCTCCAGATGCCATTTATATTTTGGTTTGGGGATGGCTAGGGTGATATTTGTTTATTTATTTTTATTTTTATTTTTTTGAGACAGAGTCTCCCTCTGTCGCCCAGGCTGGAGTGCAGTGGCATGATCTTGGCTCACTGCAACCTTTGCCTCCCAAGTTCAAGCGATTTTCTTGCCTCAGCCTCCCGAGTAGCTGGGACTACAGGCACATGACACCACACCTAGCAAACTTTTGTATTTTTGTAGAGATATTTAGTTTCACTATGATGGCCAGGCTGGTCTCGAACTCCTAACCTCAGGTGATCTACCTACCTCGACCTCCCAAAGTGCTGGGATTACAAGTGTGAGCCACTGCACCTGGCCTGGTTTTTTTTTTTTTTTTTTTTTTTTTTTTTTAATAATGCAGATTTGTCTCTAATTATTCGACTGTCTTTGCCTTTAAACTCTTGTACTGGTAGCAAAAAGACATAGTCCATAAAAATGATAATTGATTAGAAAAGGCAAACAGGATTAAAAAATAATGTTTGGGCATATTTACTGAGATTCTGGAAAATTCAGCCCTGACTGCCCTTACCTGGAATTTATTTTCCTTAATAAAACCTGCTTTGTTTTGATCAGGACATTCAGTAAATACCTATTGATGACAGATGGCTTTTCAGTGTAATATTGATGTAATACTATGGCCCAGATTGTTTCTTCTGTCATTTTGATGTGGAATTTTGGGATCTAGCACATCAAGGTCATTCTGGATTTTATGTTAAAACCCTGGAAGTTTGATTTTGCTTTCCTATTCTTGTATCTCTTGGTTAGGTTGTGGACTTCTGCTTAGGATTAGATAGCATGCAAAGCAGTTTCATTTATTTTAAATTTCTTTTGTTGTGGTGGTTCTAGACTCCAGCCAGGAATATACGGACTCCACTGGAATAGACCTACATGAATTTCTTGTAAATACACTGAAAAAGAACCCAAGGTAATAACATGATGGGTATAAGAGGAAAAGAGGTTAGAGGATAGCAAGATTCCAAGAGGCCAAATGGCTTTCCAGAATTTTTCCATTCTTAGAATCTAGGATGCTCATCTCCCTGTCCCCCCAGTATTTGTCAGGTATAGTTTTATATTCTGTGAGGGATTCAAAATACTCTCACATTGAGGTTTCTGTTTTCAGAAGAATTGGGGAAAATTCTGTGAAAGAAGAATGCAGAAACAGAGAAATATGAAGGCTTGGAAGTACAGTGATTAAAAAGCACACATTGGGAGTGATAGTAAGAGGAGCTAAAATAAAAAGCACAGAAAGAAAAAACAGTTGATTGTACATAAGCTAAATTATAATTCCTTTAAAATTCTGTATATAACAAGATGGAATATAGAATGACGATTAGATTTATAACATGTGTTTATATGAATATGTTGCTAACAGTGAGATTTCTGATATGGTATAACAAAGTATATGATTGAAGGACCTGCAAAATGTATACTCGGGTTGTTTTTCTTTTTAAAAATATTATAAAATAGGCAAGTGAGGCTTAGCAGCGTTATGGTTCATTACTGGGTTTGGATATATACCTTTTTCAACTTCTATAATGAGCAAGTTGTGTTTTCAATCCCTACTTTCAATGTCTATGGGAGGGCTGCTTTTTGTTTTGTTTTGTTTTAATCTTTTTTAAACAGGGACAGAATGATGCTGCTAAAATTAGAACAGGAGATTCTGGAATTTATTAACGACAACAAGTAAGTTACTTGCATGAAACACATATTTAGATGTGGGAGGGGGCACTGGAAATAAATTTAGGTACAATTTTAGGAGATGTTTCCCTTAAAGTGTGATTTTTGAAAACATACTGAAGTTTTTAAGTTATTATGTAGATTTCAGTTGAAAAATAATTTATATCTTTTCAGCAGCTCGCCCTTGTCCCAGATTTTACTATTCTTAAATGTCTTCCTTTTTCTTTATCAAACATCATCTAGGTGGGTGGGACCTAGGGCTTAATAAGTAGTCTTTTTTTTTTGAGACAATCTTTCTTTGTCGCCTAGGCTGGAGTGCCATGGTACAGTCTTCACTCACTGCAATTCTGCCTCCTGGGTTCAAGTGATTCTTGTACCTCAGCCATTGTGTAGCTGGGATGATAGGCACATGCCTAGTTAATTTTTGTATTTTTTGTAGAGACGAGGTTTTGCCATGTTGACCAGGCTGGTCTTGAACTCCTGAACTCAATTGATCCACCCGCCTCGGCCTCCCGAAGTGCTGGGATTATGGGCATGAGCCACTGCACCCAGCAATGAGTAGTCTTAATGAGGAAAGTAGGTCATAGTAATCTGCAGAATACTGTAGATAAAGAAACTGAGAGAAACCTGTTTGGTTCCCATTTAGTAAATATCCGTATTTCTTATGTCTGTTTCTCCTAAGAAACTTTCCACTTTAGATACTCGTAAGAAAAATTAAAATTGGTTGTTATTGCAGTTGTTTGTCTTATTTCACTTTTTTCCCCCGTGTTTCCCTTCAGTAATCAGTTCAAGAAGTTCCCTCAGATGACCTCATATCACCGGATGCTATTACACCGGGTAGCTGCCTATTTTGGGATGGACCACAATGTTGATCAAACTGGGAAAGCTGTCATCATCAACAAAACTAGTAACACAAGAATGTAAGGGAGGAAACCATGGTTTGGGAAGACTTCCTTGGGATAACCTGCTGGGTTGGAAGAGGAAGGTGTAGGATCAGGATGTCTCTTGCAGATGGCTGGGCGTGGTGGCTCACGCCTGTAATCCCAGCACTTTGGGAGGCCAAGATGGGAAGACTGCTTGAAGCCAGGAGTTGGAGACCAGCCTGGTCAACATAGCAAGATCCTATCTCTATTACTTTTTTTAAAAAAAAGTTTTAAAATGGCCGGGCACAGTGGCTCACACCTGTAATCCCAGCATTTTGGGAGGCCGAGGCGGGTGGATCATGAGGTCAGGAGTTCACGACCAGCATGGCCAAGCTGTCTTGAAGCCAGCCTCTCTACTAAAAATATAAAAATTAGCCGGGCGCAGTGGCAGGTGCCTGTAATCCCAGCTACTCGGGAGGCTGAGGCAGGAGAATCGCTTGAACGCCGGTGGCAGAGGTTGTGGTGAGCCGAGATCACACCATGCACTCCAGCTTGGGTGATAGAGTGAGACTCCATCTCAAAAAAAATATATATATTTTTAAGTATTTTGCGGGGAAGGGGTTTGGGGTTGGGGTTGGTTATATAATTAATTCCTACTCTTTCTGAGGCCTTGGAGATAGATTCTAGAGGGACTGGTGTTTCAGGAAGTCTGGCCTTAGCCTCTCTTCACTGATAGGACAGATATAACTATGGAGGAAGAGAAGTTATAGATGTATAAAGAACAGGCCCTGAGGATTTCATTAAAACCTGCATGTGACTTTTTGGATTCCTTACTCCAGAAATTCCCTGAGTGTGAGTTGTGTAATTTAGGAGAGCTGTACCTAATAGGTCTGCTTCCTAACAAAAGGGTCTTTGTCCTCCTTTCCTTTCACATTTCTCTCCAAATCTCAGCCCTGAACAGAGGTTTTCAGAACATATAAAGGATGAGAAGAATACAGAATTTCAACAGAGGTTCATTCTCAAGAGAGATGATGCCAGTATGGACCGAGATGATAACCAGGTGAAGAATGGAAAGGGGTGGGCCTATACAGAGAGATTGCAGTAAGAGAAACTGGGAAGGGAGAAGAATTTTTGTGGGATGGAGAAAACTCAAAATATCTTAGTATGGAGAAATGTATTGAGCTATACTGAGTTGGCTTTGGCTTAATGTTGAGAACTGTTTATTTGTTGAACTGGATGCCACCCTCTTAGCCCTAGAGAGACATGGTGCTGAGGTTTGCTAGGTGATCTCATTTGGCCTGGAACTCCTTGGGTCTGCCACTGACTTCTAACACCACATCATTTGGAATAAAGCAAGGTTGATCCCTGCCTCAGCCTTGATCCAGCTGTTGGTTTCATTCTTTTTTTTTTTTTTTTTTTTTTTTTTCTTTAATAGTTAGGGATTTCTTTGGGAACCACAAAAAGCTACTTTGTCCCACTTCAGCTCTTATCCTAGCTTAGGGCTAGCCTTGAACTGGCAAAGTTGTGATCTAATTTACCCAATTATAAAAGTGTTTCTGATCCCTTTCTGCAAACTCCTTAATCTTTTTCCAACTCCTTCCACCAAGGTGAGTGAGTTAATTTGACATTTGATGCTGGGAACCTCAGATAGATCCCCTTTGTGATCCACTGCTGTGGGAATAAGAAGGGAACAACCTATCCCGTCCCTTTAAATGGGCCTGGCTATTGCTTTGACCTCAAGCCTATCCTTTAGATATTAAGTGATTATTTGGGGGTTAGCTAAGAAGGTTTAGATCCAGCCTGCCTCTGCTTGGCCTCCAAAAGGGATTAGATTTGAAGACCATGGTTGAGTAGAGGCTACATGAATCTTGCTAATTAATAACTATAATAATATCTTACCTCTAGTGTCAAAATTAGTTTTCTTGGGATATTGTATGGTCTTGAGACCAGGACCTTTCCTGCTTGCTACTTGAGTATTTGAGGGAGTCCTTTTGAGAAAAGTGCCATTATCTACTGTGGACAAACACGCTGGGACTGATTGAAAACAAAGAAACATACAAAAAGACAAAATTTTAAAAACGAGAAAGAGCCTTTCCATCCTGATGCCCTTCTCCATTTTCCAAAACCCTTTTTCTGTGGATCAGGAATTATTCAGGCCTAGAGGCACATTGGGGCAAAGTGGAGTCTGTCCCTATTGTGAACTTTTCATCTCTCAGCTTCAGGCTTGATCCAATAGGGTTGTTTCTGTGTACTTTCTGTCTGTGACGTTAATACTAAGCATAATAATTGCTATCTTATTGAGTGTTTTCCCTGAACTAGGCTGTGTTCTAAACACATTGTATGCATTATCTCTTTTAATCCTCTTCACAACCCAATACGGATGGGGGTTATTATCCCCACTTTAAATATAAGAAAACTGAGGCTAAGAGATGTTAAGTTACTTGCGTAAAGTTATATTGCTGGGAGGTGGCAGAGCTGAGATTCTGCCTGACCTCAAA